TCCTCCCAGGACGTCACCTTTGACGAGTCGGTGCCTTACTACCGTCTCTTCCCCTACCGCACTGCGCCCCTCCCCCCGCCGCCGCTCTTCCTTGCGCCAGGTCCTCCCCCGGTAGACCCCCTCCCCCCTCAGGGTCCTGCCCCGTCAGGTGTGTCCCAGGTAGATGCAGTCGAGCCTGTCGAGGTAGCTGTTGACTCTGGTGCTGCTAGAGGTGCTGAGCCTGCGGGTGCCGGGTCTGGAGGTGCTGAGCCTGAGGGTGCGGAGCCTGGGGGTGCTGAGTCCAGGGGTGCGGAGCCTGGGGGTGCTGAGCCTGGGGGTGCTGAGTCTGGGGGTGCTGAGCCTGGGGGTGCTGAGTCTGGGGGTGCTGAGCCTGGGGGTGCGGAGCCTGGGGGTGCTGGGTCTGCTCGTGTGGCCTCTCGCGGTGCTTCGTCGAGGCGGGAGCCACTCTCTCCGTAGGAGCTGCGCGAGAGGTTTGCCCGGCGCTGGAGCCGTGCTGCTGGAGCTGGAGGTACTACTGTTGCTGCTGGTCCCGGAGGTGCTCGTACTGGCGGTACAGGAGCTGCTGGGACTGGGGGTGCTGCTGGGGCTGCTGGAGTTGGTCCTGCTGGAGCTGCTGGCGGTACTGGAGCTGCCGGTCCTGCTGGAGTTGGTGCTGCTGGAGCTGCTGGGGGTGTTGGCGCTGGAGGTTCTGCTCGCGCTGGTGCTTCTGAGGGTGCTGGAGTTGGCGCTGTTGGAGCTGGAGGTGCTACTGGCGCTGGTGCTGCCGCTGGGAGTACTGGTGCTGTCCCTCCTGGTTCTGGAGGCGCTGCGCGGCCGCGGCCGTACTTCGTTCCGCTCCTTGAGCAGGTTCTTGGTCTCCCGCCCTCTACTGGTCCTGCTCCTCCCTTAGAGTGTCCACCGCCTGTCCGGTCGCAGTCACAGTTACATCCCGCCTCCCCTCTACCTGCTCCTTCTCCCTACACTGGTCCTACTGGAGGTCTTGCTGAGCGTCGTGAGCCTGCGTCTCGTCCTGCGTCGCCTGTTCGTGCTGCTCGCACTAGTGGTCGTGCTCCGCGTCCGCGTCCTCCTGCGGTCCCAGGCACACACCAGATGGCACTGCGTCCGTCCACTGCTCCTCTGCGTGTCCCGTTGCCGTCTCCTCCAGAGTCCTCTCTTCCTGTCCTTGCTGACCCGGCGTCTGACTCTCTTCGTGCTGCCAGTCCTACTGTCACGCGTCTCCTGGCTACTGTTGTCACTGACCCTTCCTTTGAGTCCACTGCTGCGTCTGCCTTAGTTGCTGAGCTTGTCGACTTTGCTGCTCGCTGTCGTCTAGACTACGCCGCTAGTCTTGTTGCTGAGTCTGAGTCTGTCTGTCCTCCGTCCGTCGGGGGTGAGTGTGCTCTTAGCACGGACGTCCTTGAGGACAGGCAGGAGGAGTTCCAGTGTTTTGCTGCTGCTTTGCCTCATCTCGTGTCCACGCTGATTGCCCCTGAGGGAGACCCGGATGCACCAGACATCCCGACTCCTCGATCGTACGCTGAGGCGATCGAGGGTCCCTACTCCTCTCAGTGGCAGTCAGCCATGGACGCAGAGATGGCTTCCTGGAAGTCCACAGACACCTACGTAGACGAGGTTCCCCCACCTGGGGCGAACATCGTCAGTGGCATGTGGATTTTCAGGGTGAAGCGGCCGCCGGGTTCTCCGCCTGTCTTCAAGGCGCGTTACGTGGCTCGAGGCTTCAGTCAGCGGCAGGGAGTTGACTACTTTCAGACCTTCTCTCCCACCCCGAAGATGACCATTCTTCGGGTGCTGCTGCACATAGCCGCTCAGCGCGACTACGAGCTTCACTCTCTTGACTTCAGCACAGCTTTCTTGCAGGGCAGCCTGCACGAGGAGATCTGGCTGCGCCGCCCACCTGGCTTCACTGGGTCGTTTCCTCCTGGTACCCAGTGGAGCCTCCGGCGGCCAGTCTACGGTCTCCGCCAGGCGCCCCGTGAGTGGCACGACACACTGAGGACTACACTTGCGGCTCTTGGGTTTGCTCCTTCTACAGCCGACCCGTCACTGTTTCTGCGCACCGACACCTCTTTGCCGCCGTTCTACATCCTCGTGTACGTCGACGACTTGGTCTTTGCCACTGCTGACACTGCTGGACTCGCCCACGTGAAGTCCGAGCTGCAGAAGAGACACACGTGCACAGACCTGGGTGAACTGCGCAGCTACCTTGGCTTGCAGATCACCCGGGACAGAGCACAGCGCACCATTACCCTGACTCAGTCACACATGGTGCAGCAGGTCCTTCAGCGCTTCGACTTCACGTACTCCTCGCCTCAGGCCACTCCTCTGTCTACTCGCCACTCGCTCTCAGCTCTGCCTTCGGATGAGTCCGTAGAGCCGAGTGGCCCGTACCCAGAGCTTGTTGGCTGCCTCATGTACCTGATGACCTGCACACGACCTGACCTTGCATACCCTCTTAGCATCTTGGCACGCTATGTTGCTCCTGGGAGACACCGACCAGAGCACATGGCTGCAGCGAAGAGGGTGTTGCGCTACTTGTGCAGTACGTCGGGCATGGGGCTAGTGCTTGGAGGGCGACGTCGAGTGGTCCTCACAGGTCACGCAGACGCTTCTTGGGCTGACGACCAGGCTACGCAGCGGTCGTCACAGGGTTACACCTTCAGCCTTGGCTCCGGCTCTGTCTCGTGGCGGTCTACCCGCTCGTCTTCTGTTCTCGGCTCCAGCTGTGAGGCTGAGATCTACGCGGGGGCCATGGCTGCACAGGAGCTACGCTGGCTCACCTACCTGCTGACTGACCTAGGAGAGCCGCCTCGTTCTCCTCCAGTTCTGTACGTAGACAACAAGGCCATGCTGGCCTTGTGTCGGGAGCACAGACTGGAGCACAGAACGAAGCACATTGCTCTCCGCTACTTCCTTGCTCGTGAGCTGCAGCAGCGTGGTCAGCTGCGCCTTGCTTACGTGGCCTCTGAGGCCAACACTGCTGATATCTTTACCAAGGCACTTCCGCCTGGTGATCATCAGCGCTTCTGTACTATGCTAGGTCTTGTGCCTACTTGGCCTCACTTGCTCACTTCTTGACCTTGCTTGTACTGTGATCTTTCTATACCTGCACTTGCTTGTTTACCTTTATATATGATCTTGCATGTGAACTGGCCTTGTGGCCTTGCTCTTGTGCTCGGATTGTGTGGTGACGTTGTGATCCACCCTGAGCTTGCTTTGCTTTGCTTGACTGGTCTTGTGACCTCTTGTTCTCCCCCACTTTGCCTATGGGGGTGTGTCAAACTTATATCATATAGCTTGTCTAGGCTATAGTGGGGTAGACACTATGGGGTACAGTTTCCTAGGGTTTCCTACTTGTACCCAACCTTGTGCTAGTTCAATCATTCCTCATTTCTTCACAATTCTGTCAAGCAATCAGTTGCTGCTAAGGCAGGAGAGCGAGTACACGCAGTATTTTGAGCCGTTGCTTTGTCCTAACAAGCATTTCGTTCCGACGCACCGATACTTCTCGGAATCTGTATCACCAGTTTGAATGGGCGCGGGATCACGATAACGAGGCTCGGAGAATCGTGAAGCAGGCCAATCAGCTTGCGAGCGAGATGTGCAGCTGGGAAAGCCGTCGCCTCTATTGGGCGATTCTCCTTGCGAAATATTCTGCAAGCGCTTTGGAAGATTCCAGTGAAGTCATCCGACCAACAACGTTCCAGTGCGATTTACGTTTCACGCAGGATGACGTGAAAAACAATTCTGTTCACTCGAAGCCCAAGCCAGCTGTTTGGCCTCCGAGGTGTCAATCTGCTGACGAGGACACAAACCTGCCGCAATGCACGCATTTCTGCCTGGGAAGCCTGGCAGAGCCGAAGTGGAAACGGCTCACAGCGGATGTTTTGGATGATATCCAGGTCTTCAAACCCCGCAACAAGAGAATCCAATTCCGTGAAGTGTGAAGGCGCTCTGTTTGGTATTCCAGGTTATCTCATTTCGTTGTACATAAGGCATTGAAGGTGAAGCATTTGGAACAGGGAACGAGAGAGCGCACAGAAGGGGGAGAGGAGCGAGAGAGTAGGGTTACAGAGAAGGAAAGCTTAAAAGAAAGGGCTGATAAACGAGGTGGGTGAGGAAGAGGATAGCTTGTATGGAGACCGGCGGATTGGGGGACTTCCGCTCATTCTCAAAGAAAGAAGATGGAGTAACGGGACTGAAGGACAGTTGTGGAACGGACGGGTCAGACGAGCATGGGCTGCATGGATATGAGTGGATCCGAGGGGCGGGAACAAGGGAGTAAAGGGGTTTGCACCAGGGAGGAACTTTATTCCATTAGTAAGCATCTGTTAGCAAGGACTACAGATTATGTCCCTTCCCATAAAGCCGTGTCGACACCCAATCTTGTAACCACGAAGGGAGGGAACCGAACAGCACTCCTGCATGTGCGTGTCGCCCAAACACAACTCGAATTGGTGGCCGCTTCACAAATGCTGCATTGGCGATGCGCTCCGCAAGTTGCGATGCAGGCGGGTTCTTCGTATCAGCTGCACGATACTCGTACGACTGACACATTCGCAACTCGAGGGCCTTGTATGGGCTATCGTCGGGAATTGACGGCATATCGGCTGCGGTTTTGCTGAAGATGTTTGTTTGGATGTAACCAGGAGTTACCAGCACCACTCGAATTCCGAAAGGCTTCATCTCCACTCGCATGCAGTTTGTAACCGCGTTGAGAGCTGCCTTACTTCCAGAATAGGCCGACGTGAAGGGTCTGAAAGAGAAAGGGGATACAAAAACGTATGAAGAAACCAGCGAGAGAAGTGAATAAACAAGAAGGGGTCACTCGGAGCTTCAAACCACATTGTTGCACGATAGGAGCAAAGCATGGGCATCACGCATTGCAGAAAGAAAATAGCGCCATGAGTTTTGGGCTGAGAGGGAAGATAGTGAAACGGGAGTGCAGTGAGTGCTTGTGCGAGGAATGATTGAGATGAGTTAAAAGGGATTGAAGGGCGTACCGGTGAGTGTAGCTGCTGACAGATGACATGTTGATGATGGTTCCACTACCGTGTTTCGCCATGTGCGGAAACACTGCTTGCGAAAGCGCTACAGCGCCAAAAACATTTGTTTCGTAAACTAATCGCAATCTATCGAGGGGAATTTCAGCAACTGGAGACGGAGCGCCGAATCCCGCATTGTTCACCAGCACATCGATACAGTCACACTCCGACATCACACGCGCGATCGCTTCCTGCCGACAGGAGACGACAGAGAAGGACCAGATGGATTAAAACCGAGGAAAAATAGCAAAGGGAGAGAACGGACCCCGGGGAAAAAAAGCCAAGCAGGATGAGGGGTGAGGGGGGGGACGGTGGTGGGGAATGTGGAATGTAGGGCGGCAGGCAGATATATAATAGTGAGGAGGTTGGGAAGATGCGACCGACACGGGTACCGGGAGGATCTTGGCAAGAGTCAGGGTCGAAACTGGGAATTAAACAGCATGCTATGTTATCGTATAACCACGGATTTTCTTTTTGGCTCGAATATATTCAGGTAAAGTTGTTATCGTGGCTTCACGGATGAGTTCAGGATCCTCTATCGTAGTCACACCTTCACGGATTCAATGCAAGTGACGTCTAGCGGGAGCAGTCGAACGCCCAGCTCTGACAGCCCGCCCATCGCATCGAGTCGCCGAGCTGTCGCGTACACTGTCGCTCCGCGACTCGCAAACTCTCTGTTGAGATTTTGCGAAAACACCATATATTCTGAAGGTGGTTATCAGGAACCAAGAGCCTCCTATATCATGACCATCATGAACAAAAACACGAAGGTGGGTGATTGTGTGTTTGTGTGTAGAATAAGAGCACACTTACTCTGCAAGAGCGTATCCAATCCCGCCAACGGAGCACCCCGTTATAAGCACAACCTTGCCTCGCCCCTGCTTGTGCTTATCCTTCCGCTTCGCAGAATATCCAAAATCGCTATACGCGTCGCGCTGCACAAGACTGGGACTTACGAGACACCGCTCATGAAACCTGATGGTCCTCTCGAGGCGCATCATCGTGGTGAAGATTTCTTAACAACAGCCGGCTTTGTAAGATCAACGACGAAGTTTTCCTCGTTTACTGCAAGCAATACTTCGCTGTTTTCCGTCAGGAAGATTATGCGAGGTAGTATGGCCCGTGAATGTGAACTAACATGCCGAGAGTTACGTTAGAGGCCCATCGAGCAACGTCACGCACTTCGAAATCACTCGCCTGCCTATTTATTACTGCATGTCTAGAGCCTCTAATCTGAACACTATTTGCGAGTATGAATCTGCTAAGGAAGCACAGACGGGTGCTAGCATAATCTGAATGTAGTTGGCCCAGTAAGTGAGGATAGGGACAACATGTCGCTCAATGGAACCGATTGTTGCGGAATGTCGCGCTTCGAAGAATCTGATAGAAATGGGAGGGAGGGGAACGCCCTGAAATTACGGAACCGTCGCCCCGGCTGTTTTCGTTTCCTTTCTGCTTCATACAACACCAGCCCCTCCGCGTCAATCGACCTTCGCAAATGCTGACGTGAGACGCAGCTGGCCGCGTGCGATTGCTGGAAGTGAGTCGTGCGAATCGCCATAGAGTCTGCGAACAACATGCGAGGTGGTATTGCAGGGCGGGCTTTTCCCGCGCGGAATACATTTGGTGGAATTATGGTGCCGTCGGTGACGCAATACAGGTGTCATCGCGAGATCTATAAAAACGTGATTATACCCTTGTATGGTAGACTAGTGTCATCAAAGGTGCACCGTATACAAAATAATCAGAGACATGGTTTGCACAGGAGCTTCTGTGAAATCTCTCGTCCAGTAATTTTGGCTAACACAGAGCAACCACCTTGCTCACCAAAGCACAAAACTTGCAGAAGCTAAAGAAAAAATAGTGATCGAAGACAGTGAGTGCTAGATCTAGCTGTTGCCGCCCGTGCCGAGCCCCAGGAGCATGTTGTTGCCGCCCGGCAAGTACACCACATTGCGGCTCCGAGAAAGAGTTGCAGCAATCTCCCTTGCTGCCTCGATTCGCCTCAGCTCTATCATCGCCCCTCCCACATTCGCCGTCGCATCAGAAATCTGGAATACCGGCACGTCGGGCAGCGAGACAATACATGCAGGCAGAAGTCAGTATCCAGAAAAGTAGTCAGTATCCAGAAAAGTAGTCAGTATCCAGAAAAGTAGTCAGTATCCAGAAAAGTAGTCAGTATCCAGAAAAGTAGTCAGTATCCAGAAAAGTAGTCAGTATCCAGAAAAGTAGTCAGTAAAGTATCCAGAAAAGTAGTCAGTATCCAGAAAAGTTCTTATGTATGCCAGATATCAGGGCAAACTAAAAACTCCCGCCTCGCATGCTCCTTCCACGTTGACACAAACATACAAGTCATGTCATGTCATGCCATGCCATGCCATGCCATGCCATGCCATGCCATGCCATGCCATGCCATCCCTTGCCATCTCATCACATCCCATGCCATGTCATGGTCCCAGCCCTGCAACCCACCGCCTTGGCTTCCCTCAGATCCACCCTCTGCCCTTGTGACCGCTGCTAACCTTTCCTCTTGCACTAACCAACACGAGCCATATTATGGCCGTGGACAACAATCCAATCCACCCACCCACCCACCCACCCACCCACCCACCCACCCACCCACCCACCCACACAGCCACCTTTTGAGGCGCCTCAAATATAACATCTCTACCATCCTTCCCCAACAACCCACCAGCTTGCCTGTTCTGATTTGCCCCCTACCCTTGTGATCGCTGCCAGCCTCTCCTGCTCCACCTCTTGCACCCACAGGCACACACACAGAAATCACGCCATGCCTTGCCCACCTGTTTGCTACTGACAGTGCCAGCCTCTCCTGCTCCACCTCTTGCACCCACAGGCCCACACACAGAAATCACGCCATGCCTTGCCATGGCGCGTCACAAACACACCCAACCAACCCCAGCTCAGCCCATCACCCACCAGCCTGGCCGCTTCAAACTCGCCCTCTGCTCTTGTAATCACTGCCAGCCTTTCCTGCTCCGCCTCTTGTACTGACACACTTAAGTCATGCCATACCATACCCTGCCATGCCATACCCTGCCATGCCATACCATGCCATGTCATGCCATGCCATACCATACCATGCCATGCCATGCCATGCCATGATTGCAACATAAACCCTAGACCCCGCCCTGCCACCATCAACCCACCAGCTTGGCCGCCTCAGACTCGCCCTCTGCCCGTGTGATCGCTGCCAGCCTTTCCTGCTACCTTCTTGCATTGACACAAACAAAAGTCATGCCCTGCCATGCCATGCTCTCAAGTTAAACCCGAAACCCTAACCCTTAATCCCAAGACCATCACTCACCAGCTTGGCAGCCTCTGACTCGCCCTCTGCCCTTGTGGTCGCTGCCAGCCTCTCCTGCTACCTTCTTGCATTGACACACTGTCACACTCACCAGCCATGCCACACTCCACAACCCACCCACACCGCACTGTACCCATCAACCTACCAGCTTGGCCGCCTCAGACTCTCCCTCTGCCCGTGTGATCGCTGCCAGCCTCTCCTGCTTGCGTTGACACACACACAACTCATGCCCTGCCAAGCCATGCTCTCAACCTATTTTAAACCCTAGACCACAAACCATCACCCACCAGCTTGGCAGCCTCAGACTCGCCCTCTGCCCGTGTGATCGCTGCCAGCCTCTCCTGCTCCGCCTTCATCACCACAAACTTGGACCTCTCAGCCTCCTGCTGGGCTGTGGGGAGGATACAAGGGACAAGGAGAGAAGACAAGGAGAGAAACAATATATCGCATGGGAACAGCCTCTCGTGTTCCGCCTTCATCACCGCTAGAAGCAGAAGGAAGACAAAAAAAAAAAACAGCACAACACGATACGATACAGTACTGGGAGAAAATAAGATAACCTGCACGAACAGCTTTCAAAAGCAGCAAGCCACTCACCAACTTGCTTCTGCTCAACAGCCTTGGAGAACTCTGCGCCATACGAAAGATGGGTCTGGAGTGGTTGGGTGCGGTTGGGTGGGAAGTGGTGTGGTGGGGTAGGGTGCGAATGGGGTACGGACCTTAGGGTGAGTATGGGATGGGTGAACACAAATAGGACTGCTGGGAACTCGACGACAAATGAGAGATGGGTCTGATGTGGGTTGGGTGCGGTGGGTTGGGGTGAGGTGCGGTGAACATCGAATATTATGGGTTTGGGATGGTTGGGTTGGTGCAGTGGGGTGGGGTGGGATGGATATCGGGTGCGGGTGAGCATGGGTGGTTTGTTTTGGGCATGGGATGGGTTAAGGGGGATCCGAGGAAGAGACCCAAAATTTGAGACATTTTGAAACATGCTGGTGGCGAGAGTCGCAGCTTTCCAGACACTCCAGAATCACCCTCAACCGCATCAGCACCAGCATCTTTCGTGCCACGTCATCCATTAGTGCCACGTCAGCTCACCAGTGCCACGTCATCCAGCACGATGTTGAAGTCCTTGGCTCGCTGCGTCAGCGCCTCCCGCACAAGCTTCGACACCTGGTTGATGATTCACCACAGGTGGAGTGAAGAGGTGAGTTTACAAATCGCTACTTCTTTACAAACGTAAAAATACTTTATATACATATACATGTACATGTATGCTATGCATGGAAGCTTTACTCAACATTTTTGTATGCTATAATGGCCAAACACCGTAATGCACTGTGCAGTGCACTCACATATGGACGCTCTGTGAGTAGCTGATCCGCATTGAATTGAGCCTGAAGAATAATAAGAAATAAGAAATAAGAGGGGAAAATCACACACACACACACACACACACACACACACACACACACAAGGATTAAACAATACAGCAATGGGAGCAAAACACCCTCACATTGCAACCCGCCACATCCTACCGAAAGTGTACCTGTGGGCCGGGGATATTTGAGTCACTTTGGGGTATTCTCAAAAGTGACTCAAATGCAATCTGCAACCCCATTTTTTTTGTAGGGTCTAGCTGTGGGACGGGCAGGTGACTTCAGACCTACACGCTATAGCCAAGAAAAAGGTAAAAACAGATTAGTTGCAGACCACCTTGGAGTAATTAACTCCCGATAAAGGGTTATAATTCGTACCGAACACTTTAAAGATGGTCGGCAGGTGTTAGGTCTCATATTCTAACACACACCTAGACCTTTACAGAGATCAGGAAGGAGTTCCCATACTCGTTATAAACAGCTCACCACAACAGCTTTGAGAACTTCGTTGCCAATGGAAGGCAGCACCCTTTCATCGTAATCCGTGCCGAGCGTCTTAAAAATCGCCAGCAGGTGGGTGGAATTTTTAATCCGCAGCTAAACACCTGAATTCACCATACTCCTTATAAGCAGCTCACTACAACCGCTTTGAGCACTTCAATGCCGATAGAGGGCAGCAACCGCCCATCATAATTCGCGCTGAGTGGTGCCATCATTTGAAGATGGTCGGCAGGTGGGTGGTACCTTCTAGCCCACAGCCAAACCTTTACAGGAACCACGCAGAAATTACCGTACTCGTTATAAGCAGCTCACCACGACGGCTTTAAGCACTTCGTTGCCGATAGAAGGCAGCACCCTCTCATCGTAATCCGTGCCGAGGGTCTTGAAAATGGTCGGCAGGTGGGTGTTTTCCGGCTTGGAGAGCACTCGCAGTGTCAGATTCACCATCTGCAGATCTGTGATACGTGAGGAAAAAGGGTGGGGGGGGAGAGAGGATGGGAATTGACTCGTGACGATGGTGGGGGCAGGTGGGTGTTTTCCGGCTTAAAGAGCACTCGCAGGGTGAAATTCACCGTTTGCAGATCTGAGTTCGAAGAGAAGAGAGTGAGAAGAAGGGGGGAGAACAGGGGGCTGAGGAGAGAGAAGATGGGAATTAAAACTTTGAAAGATGGTCAGCAAGTGGGTTTTCAGACGTCTCAAAACACGGCGGGGGAGAGAGAGGTGAGAGAGAGGGGAGAGAGAAGATGTGAATACACTGTTGAAGATGGACAGCAAGTGGGTGGGAGTGTTAATCTGACCATCTGCAGATCAGAGTTCAGAAAGGGGTTAGGGTTGACGCATTAAGATTTGGGGAGGCGGGTGTGGGAGGGAGGGGAGGACCGGGGAAAGGGGGCGTGAATATGAGAATAAAAGAGGTCTGGATTTGGGGAAGAGAGGGTGAGAAGGAGTGAGAAAATGTGGTGATAAACTCACTCCAGAGCTTATCACACTCTCTCATTGGCTTGAAGATGGTGAGACGGTGGTGACGGACGTGCATCTCTTAAGTCGACTCAATAGTGAGATGACCCTTGAGTCGACTCAGTGTGAGCTTTTTCCCTCACTGGCTTGAAGGTGGTGAGACAGGGGTGATGGACGTGCGTCCCCTCGCCCTGCTCTCATCCCTTCGTTCCTATAACGAGAAAACCTTATCCTACCTTTTGTTCCTGTAACAAAGACAATTGACCCTACCTTTTGTTCCTGTAACGGAGGTAATCGAGCGGGGACGAGTGCGCACGTCGAAGATGTAGGGCTTCTGCAGCCACGGGATTAGGTACACCCTAAGCACATTCGAGCGTCGTATCGAGCACCCCTAACCTGACCAATTGTTCGTGCAACGAAGATGCGTACCTTTTGTTCCTGTAACGGAGGTGATGGAACGCGGGCGAGTACGAACGTCGAAGATGTAGGGCTTCTGCAGCCACGGGATCAGAAAGTGCGTCCCCTCGCCCTGCGTCTCCTCCAGAACTCCGCGGAACCGATCGAACAACACCGCGCGATGCCCGCCGTCGACTGCGGGGAAACAGGTTTGGGAAACAGGTTCGGGTGACAGGCTCGGAATAGAAACTATGCCTAGTAACTGGAGAGGGCGAAATTCTGGCGACGTTCGCCAACACACGCAGCATGATCTCGAGACGAGGTAACACGTACCCGTATAGAGTGACGCGTTAAGCAAGCTGCCGCCCACGCCGAGCGTGATGGCGAGCCTGGCGATGTTCGTCAGCACAGCTGTCGCGGACGAGCTCATGTTGGCGAAGTTCGCTCGTTTAGATAGTTACAAGCTTCGCCTCAGCTGAGCTCACAGCACGAGAGACGCGACGCTCTGCGAATCGTATTCGGATCTTCAAAGATCGTTACCGCTAGAGGGACCGAGGACCCTGTATCCGCCGTAAGATCCGCCGCGTATAGGAACCGAAGGGAAGGTCTCGTGAACGTGGACGACAACTGGCGAAGATCTTGGTCGAAAATCGGCGATACGTTTCGGATCAAATGGATGGGGTGAGAATATCGGCGACTTCAGAAATCGGACGGTCCCTAATCGCGCTCCCAGATGCGGACGGACAAGGCGCCTACTATGTGGCGAATAGAAGGCTCTGGAGAGTCCAGGTTATGTTCTGGAAGCATGAGAGGAATGAGACAAGTTGAGGTGGCGTGTGATGATCTCGACAACGAAGAAGCGCGACCTGGCGAGTACGAAAAGCGTGTGGTAACGAATCGTTCGGCGTAGGCCATTGTGCGGGCTTCACAGCTGTGGCTAATCGCGCTACTTGCACTTCGGTACTATATAATATTTAAAAAACATGCCCACCCTGATTAATAGATAATTTATTATTGATCAAACCAATAACTAATTGTGTTCTCTCGACCAAGCCATCTATTTCACAGTAGGAACCCGTCAGAATGTAGCAAACTCAGATCACATGTCCACCACAAAGAAACAATACATTTTTTTTTTATTTGCATACACGTGTCCATTTCGCTCAGGCCTTGGCGGCCTGGGGAGTGGAAGTCGGAACAGCCGTATCAGGAGCCCGGGCGGCCGTGCTCTTGAGGTCCAACAACCCATCCTCCTTGAGCTTGGGGTCGAACCGGAGCACCTCCTTGCAATTCCGCGCCTTGAACGCCGCCTCTAGCTCCCTCTCCACTCGTCTCGCTACCTCCTTCAGTGCCTTGGCCTTGGGAGGACCGGGAGCAGCATAGTCCACTGACTTCTTCTCTTCCTCTGAACACACAAAGGATAAAAAGGAGATACGTAGGTTCATCATTGGGTGCATGTAGGTTTCAAATCATCTCTTGTATCATGCGTATTGAAACGGAGCAACACCAAAAGCAGGAAGATGCACATGTGGCTGCGGAATGCACAAGCATGTGGAGGCTGCTCATTATTCCAGAGGGTGAAAAGCCCCGTCCTTTGATCCACTCTCGTTCTTGTTGATACAGTCACATCATGGTCTTGGAAGGCCGAGGAAGGGCCTGTACCTTTACTAGAGCTGGAAGATTCCTTTCTGTCACTCACCAGTCATGAGGGGCTTGCAGTCAAGAGGGTTCTCCCACCGGTTCTGCTCCGGCCCCTCGTCATTCCCCGGGGGGGCAGCCCCGTTCTCTGCAATCCACTGGTCCTTGATTGCCTCTAGCACCGCCTTGGAGGGGCGCGTGATGTGGGTCACCTTTATCCACGCACATGCACTCGGTACCCGCGCGAAGTGCAGCCGCATGCTCTGGTACACCTGGGAGGGGGAGAGGGGAGGAAAGAGGGACGGAGGGGAGGAGGGTGTGTAGGAAGGGGAAGTGGGAGGGTTGCAATCAACAGCGTTCTCCCACCGGTTCTGCTCCGGCTCCTCGACATTCTCCAGCGGGTTCTCTGCAATCCACTGGTCCTTGATTGCCTCTAGCACCGCCGTGGAGGGGCGTGTGATGTGGGTCACCTTTATCCACGCACATGCGCTTGGCACCCGCGCAAAGTGCAGCCACATGCTCTGGTATACCTAGGGGGTGGGGGGTGGTTGGGTTGAGAGAAACGTGTGATGTGGGTCACCTTTATCCATGCACATGCGCTTGGCACCCGCGCAAAGTGCAGCCGCATGCTCTGGTATACCTGGAAGGGGGAAAGAGAATGGGAGGAGGAGAAGGGGCAAGGGTGTGTGTGCGGGGTTGGGATGGGGACGGAGGAGGAGAACTTTGCAGGACGGCCGGGCAAAGTACAGCCGCATGGCGAGGCCTGCAAGCACCTGTTGAAAGTCCCCTCTTTCTGACCCTGCTCACCTGGCGAGACACGCCGATGTACTGTAGCACTTTGTCGTCATTGTAGATGCCATACACGGACGCCTTGGCTCCCGCTTGCGTGCAATCCGATATAAGCCCCTCCTCTGTAAGATACGGCACCCAGTCTAGATCCGCCATACGCGGGTGCGCTCCAGCTGCTGCTGCCGCTCCTCCTGCGGCTGCTCCGGCTGTTGCCCCCCCGGTTGCCTCGCTCTTCCGCTGCGCCATCTGTCTGCGCCGATACTCCTCCTGCGCCTGCATTGATTGCGAGTGGGTGGGTGGTTGTTGAAAAAAAGGAACGACAATCAGCCCACCTTCCTCCTGCACTTGCAGGACTGGGAACGGGTGGGTTGGGTTGCAGTGGGTTCGACTGGCGTGAAAGGAAGACCTCTGCCTCCATACCAGCTGCCTCGATATCCCTTTGCAGAATACGCAGCGCAGGTAGTGGTTCGCTGGGAAAAAAGGCAGATGCGTACGGGTTCTAACTCCAGCCTTTTACAAGGCACGAGCAGGAATGAACGAACGACTTGCATTAGCGGTCCCTGTCTCTGGTAACCTGCCTTTTCATTCTGATATTTTTAGCGATACTATTCTAGCAGTGGCGGGTGTTTTCATTGTTATTTTATTGGCAATGAAATCTTACCCTGGCGGTGGCCTGACGGGTTTGCTCCGCATGAGCTTCAGCCGCTGCGAGCTTCTGCTTCCACTTGGGCTCCGACGACTGACCCGCATCGCCGTCGCCTGCATCCGCAAATGAACATGGTCCAGAGAAACAAATATGAAAATATTGGAGATGGATGTGTGATGTGTCGGTCAGAATATGTTTGTATCGCGTTCGATGCTTAATAGCACATGCAGCAGCGGAAGTGCAGGTGAACGCCATTTTGGCCTCAGAAATGGATTAGGATCAGGCAGTCTTTATACGGAAATTTTTGCTTACCTGCAGCAGCGCAAGTGCAGGCTAAACGTCTGGCAGCAGTCGCATTGGGTCGCAGAGACACGCTGGACGACTGCCTTGAGACCAGCCGCTGCAAGGAAGTGCTGCAAGCAGGGAGACGACAGTACAATGGACATGAACAGAAAAAAAAAAAAAAAAAAAAAAAAAAAAAAAAAAAAAAAAAAAAAACCATTGGTGACACTGTTTCATCAGGATGGAACGTTGGATATGGAAGCATACAGGAATCCTCATTCCTATGTAGAACGAATACCTGTGAAGGTGATTGGGGGGTTGGTGAATTCCGACGCACGACCAATGGCTGAGTGCTGAGGGGGTTTCACTCACCCGACGGCAGTGGAAGTAGCGAGAGCCTCCATTTCTTCCTCAACGAGGCAAGTAGTTTCAAGAAATGACAGTGGGAGAGGAGAATCTTCAGGAAAACTTCTCGAGTTAGGAGTTTCGGAGCAGGGATTTGAAATAGGAAATCTACGAACTTCAGGGACTACAAATGTACTGGAAGTGGAATGACTAGCAAATGTAAATTGATCCGTGGGTGGAACGGACGGAAACAAAGGAACCTCGAGATTTGTTTCTCGATTCGTACACAACCGCGCTAAAACAAATTGCAAACGTTTTGAACACCCTTGTTTGCAGCGAGCTGACCCTTGGAAATTGTCGTGTTGGAGATGAAGATTTCTGAAGCTCCAGTCAGTTGCTGCCAGCATGGATGTTGTGGCCTTCCGCCACGTCGGTTGTGACCTGAAGAGTGGGGAAGCGGAAGCATCCACTTGCTTCCCATTGGTCCACCTTGGATTTATGAGATTGACTATTGTATAAGCAGGTTTCACAATGATGAACTTTATATCAGTATCAATTGAGCTTTCCGTGTATAACTGGTCTATGCTCATAAGATACATTTCAATTTGTGCAGTTGAATTCGGTAACTACGATTTCGCAGACCAAGTTTTAGGTCGGGAAGCTGATAGTTCCCTGAGTAACTTTCACGAGTGCTACTCTCGTCACTTGTTTGTTAGGTCTCCGTCTGTCACGCGAATTCAGGCTCGATTGATTCCATATCGCGGTATCTAACCCGCTCGTTGGTAGGTTCGATTCGACTTTCCGCTAACAATCGCCTTCGTGTCGCTGACAGTCGCCTGCGATGGGCACAGTAACGGACGACCGTCCCGGCGACGGTCCCGCAGCTCGCGATGCCACCACCTCCGCCACCGCCGCCGCCACGACCCCCTCCGCCGCCAACCCCGCTTCCGCTTCCGCCGCTGTCGCTTCTGGGAAGCGCAAAGAGCGGGAAGAAGCCGCGGGGGACGGTGCAGACGGCGGCGAGCAGCGGGAGAACCGCGGAACTGGGGGGGCGGCGGAAGAAGCGGCCGGACGGACCGGGGGGGAGCCGGCGGAAGCGGAAGCGGCGGTAGCGGAGGATCTGGGACCGGTGGTGGGGCCCGTCATTCCCAAGGCGAAGAAGAAGAAAAAGCCGCTGGTGTTCGAACGCGTGTACTTGGACGCGTTGCCGTCCGCTGAAATGTGAGATTCGGTATAGAGGCGTTTCGAAGGTTTGAGAAATATCGGTACCTGAGATAAGAGGTTCAAAAAACAGGGGTGCACTGGGACGCTTTGCCGACTGTCGAACCAGGTACAAGAAGAGCGACATGCACCGCTTGTCCATCTCATATCCACCGTGGTCCACCCCTTTTCACCTCTCTCCACCTTTCCAATTCACCAGGTACGAGAAGAGCTACATGCACCGTGACTGGGTGACGCACGTGGCCGTGTCAGATGCCGATTTCTTCATCACAGGCAGCAGAGACGGTGCGTTATAAGCAGAGAAATAATTCCTTATAAGCAGAGAGGGTTTGTTGCAAGTTAAGGGGTTCGGTTCGGTATAAGCAGAGGTTCCATTGTAGGTAGAAATGGTGTTGCATAAGCAGAATTGTGCGTTATCTAATAAGGTGCCAAGCAGAGGATTCGTTGTAGGTAGAGATGGTGTTGCATAAAAAGTGTGCCAAAGTTTGTGAAGGGATAACGGCCACTGCTGGTGGTGTTGCATGTAACATAGCGTGTATTAGAGTGTTCTACGCAGCAGATTTTTCACTCCCCTTCTCGTTTCCCTCCCCACTCCCGCTGCTCTCCTCCGCTCCTCCCCCCATTGCTTTCTCCCTTTGTCTATAATCAAAACAGGCCATCTCAAGTTTTGGAAGAAAAAGGCGGTGGGGGTTGAGTTTGCAAAGCACTTCCGAGCCCACCTGGGACCAGTTGAAGGGCTGGCGGTGAGTGGGGCGGGACAGTGTGGGATGTTGTGGGTTGGTGTCACAATATGGCTGCTGCTTGAGGGTGTGAGAGGTTTGGGCAGGGGGGTTGGAAGAAAAGAGCAGTAGGGGTGGAGTTTGCAAAGCACTTTCGAGCACACCTGGGACCAGTTGAAGGGCTTGCGGTGAATGGGGCGGGATGTGGAATGTGACAATATGGGGGGCTCGCTTTGCATGTGACAGTATGCAGTTCTATCTATGTTGGTCTAGAAGGCGTAAGCAAAGCACCCTCCCTATCGTCCATACCCACTCCGTACCCCCGAATTCCCCCCTTTCCTGCCCCCCTCCCCCATACCATCTGCCGCCTCCTATCAGGTGAGTGCAGATGGCACGCTCTGCAGCACCATATATCGCAGGACAACCCCGCAAAGATCTTTGACGTGGCCATTCCATACAGACCTTCCCCCCCTTCTAACCTATCCCCATTCCCCCGTCCCTGCCCCCTCTTTCCACTCCCCCCCTTCCCCTTCCCATCAGGTGAGTGCATGCAGCACCATCTCCTCGCAGGACAAGGCAGCAAAGATCTTCGACGTGGCGGCCTTCGACATGATCTCCATGCTCAAGCTGCCCTTCACTCCCTCCCTGTCTTCCATACCCCCCTTCACCCTCTTATCTAACCCCCCTCCTGTTTGCAGGTGAGTGCGGACGGCACGCTCTGCAGCACCATTTCCTCGCAGGACAAGGCAGCCAAGATATTTGACGTGGCGACCTTCGACATGATCTCAATGCTCAAGCTGCCCTTCGAGCCCTCAGCTGTTTGCTTCCTCTTCAAGCCCGACAATGCTATAGCCAAACTCGCTATAGCGGATAAGAACTCGCCGGAGATCCACGTGTTTGATGCGAGGGGCGGGACGAACGAGGCCGTGGGGAGGGTGAAGGTGCACGGGGCGCCGGTGGTGGCTATGCAGTTCAATGTGGCGGCGAATGCGGTGGTTTCCACTGATGCGAGTGGGATGATTGAGTATTGGAGCGCTGACACGTATACATTCCCTGCTGCCAGGTGGGTGGTGTGGTGGGGGGTGGCAGGTTAGAGGTGAGAGCTGGAGGTGGGAAGAGGTGAGCTGGAGGTGAGCTGGAGGTGAGCTGGAGGTGAGTCGAGTCGACTCAAAACTTGGCAGGTTAGAGGTGAGAGCTGGAGGTGGGAAGAGGTGAGAGGTTGGGAGGGTGAAGGTGCACGGGGCGCTGGTGGTGGCGATGCAGTTCAATGTGGTGGCGAATGCGGTGGTTTCGACCGACTCGAGTGGGATGATTGAATACTGGAGCGCTGACACTTGATGACTTTTGAGTCGACTCAAAAGTCACTGATGCGAGTGGGATGATCGAGTACTAGAGCGCTGACACTTACACGTTTCCTGGGGCAAGGTATGGAGTAGGCAGCAGGAGGTGCGTGGTTGGTTGGTGCATGTTGGAAAAGTGTATGGTTGGTTGGTGCATGGTGCATGGTGCATGGTTCATGGGGATGGGGAAGGTGAAGGTGGAATGGTGCCTAGCGTCATCTTACCTGTAGCCTCACTCCCCTCCACCGTTCTCCACCCCTCTCCACCGTTCCCAGCGTCCGATTCAAGTACAAGACAGACACGGACCTCTATGCCCTTGCAAAGGCCAAGACCTACCTTGCCCGTGATTGCTATGCTCCCAGCTCACTCCTCTCCACTGCTGCCAACCCCTCTCCACCACTCCCAGCGTTCGCTTCAAGTACAAGACAGACACGGACCTCTATGCCCTTGCAAAGGCCAAGACCACGGCACCTTCGTTAGAGGTGAGTTACGTGATTGAAGAAGTGAGTTACGTGATTGAAGAAGTGAGTTACGTGATTGAAGAAGTGAGTTACGTGATTGAAGAAGTGAGTTACGTGATTGAAGAAGTGAGTTACGTGATTGAAGAAGTGAGTTACGTGATTGAAGAAGTGTTTTGAGACGTCTCAAAACACTTGTTCAATCACGTGCCCTTGCAAAGGCCAAGACCACGGCACCTTCGTTAGAGGTGAGTTGGATGGCGGAAGTAGAGGGGTGGAGGGGAGTAGGATTTATCGCAACCCAGCCTATCACCACATGCCGTGTGTAGGCAGGCAGCATCCATTTCTCTGCTTCTTGACCTTAGAGTCGACGTAAAAAGTCACTTTTGAGAATTCCCAAAAGTGTAGGCAGCATCCATTTCTCTGCTTCTTGACCTTAGTAGAGTCGATGTAAAAAGTCAACACCTCACAGGCTTCACGCGCGCAGGTAAATGCCCTTTTCGTTGCTGTTTCACCTCCTTCGTACCCTCTCCCTCTCCCATCAGATCTCACCAGAGGGCTGCCAGTTTGCCACTGTATCTCCGGATCGGCGCATCCGGGTGTTCTGGTTCGCCACTGGCAAGCTCACAAGGACTCGTTCCCACTCCCCACTTGTTCTTTCCTCTCTCTCCCCTCTCACTGGTCCCTCCTCTCCTTTCCCTTTCCCTTTCCCTTTCCCTTTCCCTTTCCCTTTCCCTTTCCCTGTCCCTGTCCCCTTCTCCACCATCAGATTGCACCAGACGGCTCCCAGTTTGCCACTGTATCTCCGGACCGGCGCATTCGAGTGTTCTGGTTCGCAACTGGCAAGCTCAGAAGGACTTATGACGAATCACTGGAGGTAAGTGTATATGCGTTCATATATGTGTAGCGTACAAAGACTTGTATCTCTATGTATATATGTATATATATGTGTCCCTCACTGAGTGGTCATATATATATGCATGTCGAAATTTGAGACGTCTCAAAGTCGTTTCTATGTATTCCTAACTGAACGGTCACATAGATATGCATGTCCAAAAGAAACAGCTCCCATCCACTCTCATTCACGTTCGCACCCATTCCCGTTCGCACCCATTCCCGTTCGCACCCATTCCCGTTCGCACCCATTCCCGTTCGCACCCATTCCCGTTCGCACCCATTCCCGTTCGCACCCATTCCCGTTCGCACCCATTCCCGTTCGCACCCGTTCCCGTTCGCACCCATTCCCGTTCGCACCCATTCCCGTTCGCACCCATTCCCGTTCGCACCCATTCCTGTTTGCTCCCATTCCCGTTTGCTCCCA